CTCCTTGTCCCATCATTTCCATTTCTAATTGAAATGGTTATTTCTTTTGTGTGTGTGTGTGTGTGTGTGTGTGTGTGTAATCACATGGGATTTTGCTGTTTAAAGAAGGTGAACAGCAAGACAGAGGGCAGGCTGGCCTCTCTGTCAGGCCTCATAGGTAACTTCGACGTGGCCACTGTTTTCTAAGGCTGACCCTGATTATTGGTTCATCCAGTGAGGCAACTAGGTACTAGAACCCTGCACCACTTTAACCAGCCTCATAGATAGTAGCATATAAATACCACAATTCAGTTCTTTAATTTGTGATGGGAAGTATCAGGCCCAGTGGTTTCTCATGTTTGTGGTTCAGTACATTTTCTCCCAGTTGGCAAATCTACATAGAAAGATAAATTATAATCAGAAGGTTGCTTGATGAGCATTGAATCAGCTCTCAGCAACCAGTGTCAGCAAGCTTTTGTACTGTGACACACTCATCTTCCCCGTAGGAATGCAACTGCCACTCAGACCAGATATTGTTCAATATTCAGAGCATCCTTTCTACTAGACCAGGCCACAGATGTACAGCCACCTTTTACTTTCTTCATTTCTTACAGAGGTGTTATAGACTTCCTCCTTTAATACATTTTTTTCAATTATAATTTCTTACAGTTGAGCTAATTAATGTATGTAAAACACTTAGCCCAATTCCTGGCATATAGTAAGTACATGATAACTATTATTATGAATAAGCATAACTGGTTTTGAGTCCAAGTCACCCTGTTACTTGCAATATCAAAGACAGTCTTTTGGGCCATTTTAATAGATGAGTGTGATCCATCTTTTACATTTTGAGTTATTTTCATCCTTTAAATCTTTTCATTTAATTCTTCAGTTTCATTTCATTTAACCTTAACATTGACTCCATAAGCTAATTAGGACAGTGCCTTTGACTCTGTGTGATTTTGCTATTGTTTTAACTTTGAGATTTTTATTCTTTTAAATTTCAGTTTCTCGCTCTGAAATATCCCGTTCTCCATATTTCCCCCATGTGTAATGTGAATCTGTTGGAAGAGATGAAGTTACTGCTCAGTTCCAGAATACATTTGATTTTATATCTTATTTGAGTATATGATGACAGTTGCAGCCCTTTCCATGTAACTGTGCTTGGTTTCATTTTAAGCTCTGTTTAAATTCTTTCTCATAGAGTGTAAAGTTGTTTTGAAAATGGTAGCAGCATCTGAATCCTTAGAAGGATGGCTATGGCACTGGGAGGTTGTGATTGAAAATCCATGGGTAAAGGTAGGATTTCAGCAGTCAGCAATGACCCTACAACCCTGACAGATTCACAACTGACAAAACATTTTGTGTGAAAATGAGTACAGAAAAGAATGATTCAGATGAGTCAGTTGGTTACCCCAGAAAAAATATTCATTGTCAGTCTTCTGCTCTCCCATCCATCTGGGAGGTGAATTACTCTTTTAAGAGTGGCAAAGAAGATTCAGGAAAACTGGAGAAATTGCCACAGCTCTTTCTGGTGCTTATAAAAATACATATTATGGTGGATTTTTGAAGGTGGTGGACTCAGAATCACATTTTGAGAACTGGGGTCAAAGGTAGGAACCATTGTCGGAATTCAGAAGAGAGAGAGATCATTCCAGGCTGCAGTACTCAGGGAAAGCTTAATGAAAGAGATTGGCTTTGGTCTGGATCTTGAGAGATGGACAGAATTTGAATAGATGAGAGGAGGGAGAAAACATTTTTCAATGGGTGAAATGCCAAGAACAGAACTACAGAGGCTGGAAACAGCAGTGTAAGGAAATGCAGAATCAAATAGTTTGACTCAAGGGTTCTTAAATGGGGCCCATGAAAGAAAATTGAGGTCTTCTGTCAGATGACACCACTCACTTCAGACTTGGAAGAAATGGGCAGTTATGCATATTTCTCTTCAGCATGCAACTGGATGAAACTGTTGATGCCTCTCAATGCATCCAGCTTCAAATTTTCATGTGCTTGCTGATGTCATCAAAGGAGAACTCCATTTTAGCACACCTTTTGGAAGCTGGAAAGACTGTTACATCTTCAAAATAATCTTAAGTAGAAGAAGAAAAATTGCTCTCTGAGGGGCAGCTGGTGCACCTGTGATGTCAGGAACACAGCATGGTTTTCCTGCTTGATGAGGAAAGGATTGCTGCACGTCATTGTGCCTCGTTACTTTCCATATCAGCAGCTGTCGCCACCTTTCCAAAAGGTGTTGCCAAGAAATAGGAACAGGGTGTGATGTTTTTCTCTAACCAGACAGAAATCTGCTGAGTTTCCAGAAGTCTTAATTGAACTTGAAGGCAGAGGAAATAATGTGACTTGAGTCTAACTTGAAAGTCTTGGAGGAATTTGGTGTTCCAGTATGCAGGCCACCTTAACCTGGCAAATTCCATTCTATGCAATTTTGCTTTGGTTCTATTAAATATGTACCTTTGCTAGTCAAGGATTTCAGCACTTGTTGCCATAGGGAAAAAGTTGTAATGGATTATCAAAGATGAAGTATATGTTGCCATATCAAAAGCCAAAGCACAATTTCAACTCATTTAAACTAAATCTCATTGAGATGTACTAGTGAAGTCAGAATTTTCTAAAATTTTTTTCCCCCACGAAACAGCCATTTTTCTTTCAAAAGAGAAAGAAGGCATAATCCTTTATAAATATGGCTTATGTTCAGGAAATCAGTTTCTGGTGCAGTGAAACAAAGTATATGGTGTATGCATTTCTGTGCATGTTTCTGGAGGAGGAAGTCCATATCTTTAGTCAGAACCTCATAACCAGTCTTTGACTTCCCTGAACGGCTAAGAACTATTGATTTAACTATTGTGGAGACAGTGGGTTGCTCTGGATAAATCTGAGCAAAGAAATGACAGGAAATCAGCTCATCTGAAGACTATGGGATGTGAAGCTTTGGCAGGACAGTGGTGAGTGATTTAGGGATGCAGGTTAACCCCCACATCTGAGTAATCTGAAGGTAATTTTCTAGATAGAGCTTCTCAAAGGTAGGAACATTATTTTTTTTTTTTTTGGAACATTATTTTTTTGTTCTTACTGTCTGAGGACAGTGCAGGAGATATAATAGGCACTCCAAAAATGTCAAGTTAAATTGAAATCACTGTATAGTTAGTGAAAGCTGGACTGTAGCACCAATAATAAATGCTCTTCTGTCTTATCTGTATTTAACACTGGTTACAACATTTGGTGAATAATAAGATTTTTGAGAGAAAATGTTTTATAAAACGCTCCTACGACCTTCATTTTATTCAGCAGCAGTTGGTTAACAAAAACTTTTGGACTTAAGGGGATTTGTTCTCTTTGGACATTTTATTTTTTTCTGATTATTTATTTATTTATTTATTTTAACCAAAAGCATGCTTCCAGACACAATAATTGTATCCAGTACCTTCAGGGTGAAGGAAACTTACAGGATGGTGTGAATACTTATGTCATCACATGTTGCTTTTAAGCAACAAAGCAACATTCCAATAAACATCTAATCTTGGATTTGCTCATCATTAAATAAAATCAGCCTGGCAACTCTGAGCTCACTTTAGCTTAAAATATATTTGAAACTTATAATGGATCTTCTATAGATCTAATAACAAAGCCCTGGAACCCCTCTCCTGTGTTAAATTAATATAATTTTATTATCACTTTTATGCACATTCCTGGAACAAGGTTTAGCAAAACCAAGACTCCATAGGTATTAACTTAAAATTTTAAATTAATTTATGATTGGGAGACCAGGATGTTAAGCTTAGATTCTAGTTCATTGTCATATTTTAGTTTTGATCCCACTGAATTATTTCAAACTAAAGAGAAATTCATTGAATTACTGTAAAACATTAGTATTACCTAAAACATTTGTCCCACATTTTTCTGTTTTTAGCAAACTTTGTGTTCCCAAGTCAGTGGAAATTACAAATCAAATTACATTTTTCATTTCTCAAAAGCCCAGAATTTTTTTTCTGAAATGGAAATTCTTACTATAGTTAAATAAAGTATAGCATCACAAAAGACAGTGGCTTTGATTAACTGCAAAATGTTTAAGTAATAAACTCTTCTGTAATAGTGTAATTTACACATAACTTTTGAGGAAGATAAACTACTTCGAGAACTACCTATTCATTTAAAAAAACTTTGATGTCCACCACTTTGCTACCCAATAGAAAATAAATACTTTCATGAATTTGAATTGAGATAAATGTACAATGGGTACATAAAAATGGAGTAAAATTCCTTGTAGTATATATTTTTTACTATAAAACATGCTTATAGTGTGAAATTTGGGAAACATAAGTTAAAAAAGGGTTACCTACAGCTTTATCAGCTGGAGATAACTGCTTAACGTTTTGGTGTGTTTCTCCCCATTCTTACAACAGTGATGTGTCATTTGTACACACATGTACACGTAAGTATACACTCGCATATGGTACAAATGGAGATGAAACTGATTTTTTTCATTGAATATATCAATTCTTTTCCATATCATTAGATATCATTTTACAGCATTATTTTAATAGCAGTTTAGTATTCGCTATAAGAAAAAGACTATAATCAATACCTTATTGTTGGGTATAGGACATTTCCATTCTTTTTGCCCTTTTTTCTTGCATTTTTTTTTCTATTATAGATACTGAACTGAACACCCTGTATGAAAAATTTGTACGTATTCATAATTATTCTTTAAGGGAAAATTCTCAAGCCAGACTTTCTGGGTCAAACAGTATTCAGCCATTTAAGGGTTTTGATACATTTTCCTAAATTGCCAGCCAGTTGTTGCATGAGACCTGAATTGGATCTGTTTTCCTCTGACCACTGCAGTTTTCTCTCGTGGCACCCTGCTGGGCGAAAGTGGCACCGCACTGCCCGTGGGTCTGCAGCTCTTGCGGGGCTGAGAGGCGTCGGCGCGCTTTCCCTGGTTTCTAACCCGCGTGTCTTTGTCTTTCCTTCCTGGGGACCGCTGCCACCCGTGCGGGCCGAAGCCTCGCGAAGCCGTCGCCCCGCAGCGCCGCCGCCCTGCGCCCGGCCGCCCCCGGGAGCCGCTGCCCGCCCGCGGGCGCCGTCACCACGCGTCAGGCTGCAGCCAGCTGCCGCGCCAAGCTCCGCGGTGGCGCCGCCCGGGAGCGCCAGCTCGCATCTCGGGGCCTGGGTAAGCCCGCAGCCCCGTGAGCAGCGCCGCTGCCTGGCCGCCGGCGGAACCTCGCCCTCCCTTCGCACCACGGTACCTCAGGCGCCTCGCCGCGGCCGTCTCCACGGGCAGTCCTGTCATCCGCAGACTCCTGAGTCCTCTGCCTCACCTCAAACCCCTCTCATCGGCCCTGGTTTGAGCCAGGACTCTCCCGCGAAGCCCTCTAGAGGACCACGTGCCTTAGGGACGGGTTGGGGCGGCCTCCGTACGAGTCGTGACTGCTCCAGGGCAGTATGTCCTCTGCCTGCCAAAATCCCGGCTTCTTTGAGAATCTTGTCACTGGACAATACCATCTTTTTTTTTTTTTTTTTTTTCCAGCTTGTAATTTATAGATTTCCTATTCATAGTGAGTTTTGTCATAATTAGTTCTTCAAAGACTAGCTCCTACTTGAACCTTCACCTCAAATCCTGGCATCGACAAGCTAGTTCCCCAGCCCCCGAGACCCCCCACCACCACTACCACAACCACAACCCCAAATATTGCCATCTGCTAGAAGATTGTTTTAATAATTGTCCATATCCTCAGTGAGTGTGGGGTGCTTAACTGTGGTTGACCTTGAACTCCAACATCTAGTCCCCACCTTCCTATAACTTCATCTCCAGTGATCATTTCTCCCCTTCAGACTCAGTCCTTGCTCCTACAGTTCTAGACCTTGTCATCGTTAGAATCCGCATCCTCTCTGCAGTCTTGTCTGTGATGATCATTACCTCTCAGATCTCCTGCTCCAGGGAGTGGAGGTGATGACAGGTCCCCCTGCCTTCCCAAGGCATTTACTGCTGGGTTTGCACTGAGGCCATGCTTTTCCAGCACGACTCCCAGTCAGTGATCGGGCACAGCATGGGGTGTGGAGGTGGCACGTTCATGGAAGATGCAGGACTCCTCTGATGAGCAAGTTTGGCTTGGGAACACCTGAGCGCCCTGGTTGAAACTTTCTGAGAACTGTGCTGCATGCACTCTGAGGCTCTTGGGCCCAGTTCCCCTCTCCTTTCACAGATGTCAGACCCGTATTATAATATGAAGTTTCTCTTGCCCTTTCCTGCTTCCTCCCCTTTATCCTTCACAGGAGCTCCCTCAATAAAACTCTTGCACACTGAACCCTGTCTTGGTGTCTGCTTCTAAAAGGACCTGAACTAGCACATCATCAGACATTCCATGCTCCAATCATTATCTTCCTATCCTAGGTTTGTTGCTCACTGGCAGCTAATTCGTTTGCTTCCTTTTTTCCACTATTTATCAGCCCCTGTCTTGCATTCTCATCCTTGCTTAGCCTAGATTCTCTGGTCCATTATCATCATCATTCTCCTTGAAATACAATGTTTTCAGCACTCTTGAACCTCAATTTCTATTTATTTTCCTGACAAAATCTCAATTATGGATAAATCTTACCATCTGCCTTCCATGGGCCTTTCTGGGACAACTGAACATTTTGTTTGAGAAAACCACACAATTCAACCAACTAATTTTTGCTTTCAATCCATTAACTCAGACCTCAAGTTGGTGCTGTTGTTCCTACCTTATCTCAGTTCCTCACATCTGAAACTATTGTTCATACCTTTTCATCTCCTCAAAATGTTCTGATCTTTTCCTCCCCATTTGCTTCACATTTCGCTAAGAAAACAGAATTTACTACATACAGACTTCCTCATCTTGTCACCACAAAACCCTCCAACCCAGCTACCTTGGTAACCTTCCTTTCTGTGATAGGGAACTTCACAGGCAAGTCCCTCCTTTCATGCCCCAAATCCCGGCCCCTTTGCCTTTTCAAGGACTTCCTCCTTAGGTTTTCCCTTTTCTCTCTTCTGCATCCTCAATCCTGCCTCCTCTCAATGGATTATTCCCTGTACGTGTGCTCCAGTGTATTTCATTTTAACCACACCTTTCCTCGTTCACATCTTCTCCATCTGTGAGCCATTTCTCAGCTCCCCTTTAGAACTAAACTTTTTAATGGAGTTGTCTATTCTTTCCTATGGGAATACGGTGACACCAGTCCTACCTGGTCTCTCTGCCACCATTCTTAACCACTCCAATACATTTTTGATAGAGTGGCAGCAATAGCCTTTCTCACAAATCGAATTAAGCAAATTGTTGCTTTTAGGGTAAAATCTAAACCCCTTACCATGGCTCACATAAACTTGCACAATCTGACCCTTACCTACCCTTCTACCCCAGTCTATGCTCCTCTCTTTATTGCCCACTTGAATGCAGCCACACTAATTCCTCCAATATGCCAAAATATTTTCTGCACCTCAGGGGCCTAGGAAATGATGTTCTGTCTATTTAAGCTGCTTTTCACAGCAATCCTCTCTCCCATCACAACCCTATCCTTTAGATAACTGATGAAATATAACATTGAGAAAGACCTGCACGGAGCACTCTATTGAAAGTAGACCCTACCTTCCTCTCTTCCCGTTTGCTGTATCAGTCCTCTGTTTTCTTCATCACTCTAATCCTGTATCTCAACTTGTAATGTTATTTACTTGTTTATTTACCTTTTGGGGAGGTCTATTTCCCATACTAGAAAGTATAAAGGAAGAGACCATGTTTGGTTGTCTAGATTCTTCAACATTGTATTCTCCACCTGTAGCACAATATTTGACACATATTAGCTGCACAATAAATATCTGTTGAAGGGATGAATGAGCGTATTTGGTATTTTTTCTGTTGAGGGTTCACTTTTTATTGATTTGTAAGAACTCTTTATATATTAAAACCACTAACCATTTGTTTGTTCTGTATGCTGCAGACATTTTGTCCTTTGTCAGATATCTATCAATTTAATCCATGATGTCTTTGATAAACAGAAATATTGCAGTTTTCATTTAGATAAATCTGTCTTTCATGATTTCTGCTTTTGATGATATGTTTAAAAAGGTCTTCTCTTTCCCAATGTTACATAAATATCTGTCTTTTTATTTTAATTTTTTAGATTTGAATTTTTACTCCAAATGGAATTTATTTTTGATATAGGTGTGATTAAGGGTCTAAATATTTATTTAGTTGTTACATCATCATTTATTGAAAACTTCCTTTTCTACTGTTTTAAAAATTCCACATTTATCAAATATTAAATTCTTACACACACTTGCAGTGGTTTCTGAATTTATTGTTTGTTTAATTTTTTTGTATCCTTTGTTCCTGAACCATGCTGTTTTAGTTATTGCCATTTTATCATTTGCTTTACTGTGTATTTAGCATCTTAATTAATGGGATAAATGGTACTTTTTTTTTTCAAAATATTTTTGGGTATATTTGTGCATGTATCCTCCCAGGTAAGCTTTAGTTATGTTTTGATTATGTTCCAAAAGAAATTCTATTGCAATTTTGTTTAAGATTGCTTTAACAGTATAGACTAATTTGGGGAGAATTGCCAACTTTGTAATATTAAATTTCTCGTTTAGGAACTTGTCATGTGTCAAGGTTACTGAAGACAATTCCCAAATGTTCTTTAGTAATTTTGTATGTCTTGCATATTTTTATTAATTGTATTATTAGCCATTTCATTTATTTTATTGCATTTGAATGGGATCATTTTTCCATTATTTTTTAATAACTGATTGCTCCTTCTGGGGTCAAGCTATTGATTTTTGTATTTGGTAGCTTTTCTGAAACCCTTCATTAATACTCCTAGTTGATTCTCTTTTAAGTAGTCAGTCATTTTAAGTATAATTAATGATGATTTTTCTCTCTTTCTTTGTAGTACTTATATCTTATGTGTTAAATAAGTGATGGTGATAACTTTGCCCTTATTCCTGAATTGTTAGGTATGCCATTAAATTTTACCAACTTTTAAATGTTAGCTCTTAGACTGAAATACAGATCTTTATCAGGTTAAGGATGTGGTTTGCTGGTTCAAATATGCTGAGCATTTTATTGGAAGCTGTTCAGTTATATTAACCATACTCTAGGCAACTAGAAATGATCATGTGGTTTTAGTCCTCTGGCCTATTATCACAATAAATAATGTTAATAGCTTCTCAATATTGGATTATTTCTGCATGAGATGTATCCTGTTTCATCATGGTGGTTCCCCTCCTTTTTTTGTATAACAATATTGAACTTAATTTCTTACATTTTATTTGGATTATTGCATTTACATTTATGAATAAGATTGGGTTGTAGTTTTACATTTTTGAATTCTACCTTTATCAACTTCAAAAAAATGAATTTTCCATCTCGTTATATGCTCTAGATTGGCACATAGTATATGAATTGGCTATTCTTTGGGGTCTGGAGAAACTCACCCATAACACTGTTCAGACCTCGATCTCCTTAAGGGAGTTTGAGTAGAAGACAATTCTCTGAAAACTTAAAAAAATTTTTCTATGGTTTTAACTATCACTTCTTGAGTATCAATTTAAAGAATCTTATTTTTAAAGAAAATCATGCATTTTCATAGAATTTTAAAATTTGTTGCCTATATATAATTATAATTAAAAATATTTTTCTCTGTATCTCTGGTTATGGCTTCTTTCTAATTTCTAGTCTTTTTGTTACTTTTTTCCTTTCTTTTATTAGACTTACCAGTCTTTTTAAGGAACCAACACTTTAACACTTGAGTATTTCATCAATTCTGTTTTTTCTATTTGATATAATATTAATATAACTTTTCATCTTTAATTCATTCCTTATTTCTTATAAGTTTATTTTGTTGTTTTATAAATGTTTTGTACTAACTGATGACTTAGTTCATTTATTTTTATTTTTTCTTATTTAATAATAGGACACGTAAGACTATAACTTTACCTCTGGGCACAGCTTTGACTGCATCTCAAAAGTTTTGGTATGTAGTCTCTTAATTGTTGCTATTTAATAATAATGGATTATAATTGCTGCTTTTATTTTATTTTTGATGTATTATTTAGGATAGTTTTGTGATGTTTTTGTTATTGTTAATCCTTTCTTTTTAAAAAAGAATAAACTTATTAATGTTTATGTTGCCACTTTAATAAAGAGCTGATTTTGTTTGGAAAAAGTGAAATTATCTGCGAAGTAGTCTCATCTGAAGCTGTATACAAGCACCGTGGAGAGTTCCTTGTTACAAGATTCTACCAATAGCACCAGCTAGTGGCAGCTGTAATAATCACTGACAGCAGGGACTTGGTACACCACTAATGCCAACAATTTACAGGAATTCTGATTTTGTAAAGTCCTACTTACCCATATAAAAGTCAAGAGAGAATTTTAAAAATGTTTATTGCACCAGAAATCCTCAAGTATAATAAAATTTAAAAGATCAAATGATAATTAGAGCAACTCATCAAAGTTTATGAAATTAGGAAGGATTTGAATATTGTGAACATAGACTTTGTCTCAAAATTTTGGCATTAGAACAATTTTTCTTTTAGACTTGGCAAAAGTAGTTTGAAAGATATTTGTTTTTTATAATTACAGATGTAATTTATGTACATAAATAAAATAAAAATCCCCTGTAACTTCATTACCCACAGAAAATCATTGCTAAAATTCCATTGTATTTCCTTCTAAGATTGTTCCTGTAAATCTTTCTCTTTCTTTTGTTGAATTGGGATCATGCTCTTTTCGCTTATTTTTTCAATTATTATTTGTGATCGTCTCCCTGTGATGTTGAAAATGGAGATGATTGGGAACTCATTTATCTCAGTAACAGTAGCTCTAGGGCAGGGCTCTTCTTGTTGTGGCTTCTACTGTCCAAGCTGCTTGCTTTTCAAACTGGAGCCTTGAAAATTCCCTGATATCCTTCCACTTAATTCATTTGTTCTTTTAACTGGCCATAAGTATTTTCTATCCTGTGTACTCAAGAACTCTGATACAGTTTTTTTTTTTTTTTTTTTAGTTGATTGATAGCATTTTCAGAATTCTACTGCTAAGAGATATACATACATGTGCAGGCATGTGTGCATACACACGCACATACACAAGCACACACCATATAAGTCTGGGAAATATAACTTACTTTTTTTTGTCTATTTCAGGATTCACAGGCCGCATTCCTCTATTAAAGGCTCCTGGGCGGGTGTGGTGGCTCACACCTGTAATCCCAGCACTTTGGAAGACTGAGGCAGGCAGATCACTTGGGTCAGGAGTTTGAGACCAACCTGGCCAACATGGTGAAACCTCATTTCTACTAAAAATACAAAAAAAAAAAAAAAAAGCCAGGCATGGTGGTGCACCCCTGTAGTCTCAATACTTGGGAGGCTGAGGCAGGAGAATTGCTAGAACCTGGGAGGCAGAGGTTGAAGTTAAGCGAGATGGTGCCGTTGCACTCCACACTCCAGCCTGGGCGACAGGGTGAGATGCTATCAAAAAAACAAAACAAAAGGCTCCTAGGAAAAAAAGTTTGCTTCAAAATATGTATTTCTTCAATTATTGAATACTTTCTTCTAATAAGACCTGCTAATAATTTTTATACAGCTTTGGGAAACAGTGAATTGTTTATTGGCTTAGCAATATAGCCATGGGTCTTCAGCTTTGTTACACATATCAGTGTCAATTAAATTAGCATTAATAGTCAATTCTCAATTGATTTATCATATGGAGAAAGTTTACTTTTTCTTTTTTTTTGACATGGAGTTTCACTCTTGTCACCCAGGCTGGAATGCAATGGGACTGTCTCGGCTCACTGCAACCTCTGCCTCTTGGATTCAGGTGATTCTCCCACCTCAGCCTCCTGGGTAGCTGGGATTATAGACACGTACCATCATGCCCGGCTAGTTTTTGTATTTTTAGTAGAGACAGAGTTTGACCATGTTGGCCAGGCTGGTCTCAAACTCCTGACCTCAGGTGATCTACCCGCCTTGGCCTCCCAAAGTGTTGAGATTACAGGCGTGAGCCACCACACCCAGCCAGAGAAAGTTTACTTTCTGATGCTTCTTGTTGCTTACTGATTAGTTGGTCTGGCCGTGCTGTAGGATGTGGTCTCAGGAATGCAGTCAGACAGGCAAGACAGGACCTGCTTTGGACCCATGCTTTACAAGGCTTCCCCTGGCCCTCCTTTGGGCACTCCTGCTCTGCCATGGTAAAGCCATCTGTGCAGCCAAGGGCATATGTCCACTTAGAACCTAAGCCCTCTTCTTTAGGATACATTCTGGTCTCCTGGGGCCCAGAACTCTTAATCCAAACAGACCTTCCTTCAGGTTCATCCTATTGTGCCACCAGTTGAGCACACCTAGGACCAAAGGGAGGCCAAAGGATGGCCATTTGCAGAGGTGTGGACATAGCCTGTTTCTTCAGGCTAAAGAACCACACACAAACATGTGAGGCCCTTTGGTGAGATGCAGTGGGGTATGAAATAGGGACCTATACTTACCAGGCCACCATGTTCTAGCATGGGACTCCAAGGAATCTAAAATTCTTAATTTGAATATAACCTTCTAGGAAATTACATAGATATATTTGTCAGCATAGAGCAATAGAACACATTTTATTTAACAATTCATTCACTTTGTAACTTTGAAAATATTTGGGGCTGGGTGCAGTGGCTCACACCTGTAATCCCAGCTACTGAAGTGGCTGAGGCAGGAGGACTGCTTGAACCCAGAAGGTGGAAGCTGCAGTGAGCTATGATGGAGTCCCTTCCAGAAAGAAAAAGGGGAAAGAAGGGAGGGAAGGAAGGAGAGAGGGAGGCAAGGAAAGAAAATAAAGAAGAAAATATTTGGACATATGGTATATAAGCTTCCATTTTACTCTGCAAATATTAGGGGTGAGATTGGTGCGTAGAGGCTACAAGCAAAAGTTGCAATCACAATGGCACTGGGAAGTCTTGGGGCCTGAGAGGAAAGTGACTGCAGGGTGCAACTTGAGAGAGAACCCTGGGTGTCAGTCATAACACTCAGCCTGATGGAGCCCTAAAGCTTGGCATGAAGCACCAGAGCCTTCAGTCTTTGAATAGACCATACTCTGAACAATGAGTACCTCAGCAGGGATCTGTGACTGCAGTGGGCTGAAGACTAGAGACTCTTACCCCAAGTCCCAGGCACTACAGACGTCTCTAGAATTCCGTGCTCTAGCAGACCTGCCAAAACGGGGCTGATTGTGATTATTTTCCTACACTGGCAAGTGAGAAATTCAGAAATCAGATTGAATTTTATTTAGAAAATTAATAGCACATCTGTTACACCCAAGCATAATGGTATGAGAGTCACACTAGCTATATTGTAATAAGTACAGAATAGTACAAAACAAAGCACAGCATGCCTTGGAAGAGTGAAACACAGGAACCTCTCAGTCTGGAAGTTTAAGGAAAGTT